GGAGAGCGGTGGGGGGTGGGCTGCCAGGCTCCGTCTGAGAGCCGCACCCAGAGCCGTGCTAACTGGTGTCCCCGGTTAAGAAACCCAGTTGTGATTTTATTGTGTAAATGGTTGGGCTACATTTAATTAAAAAAGAAAAAAGGGGGAAAAGAGTGTTTGGGAGCAAGTGGGCCTGAAAGTTCAGCCCCGAGTTGCCGCAGTCGCATGCGGGGCGTGCGTCATGGCTCTGCTATGCCGTTACCAGGGGCCTGGAGGTTTGCAGTGTTTCATAGGAGAAACGCTTCCTGCCGGGGTAGATACTGATTATGTATTAAGTGGAAAATGCCAGATGCAAAGTAATAAAAAGTAAGATCTCGTTGGGGCACAAAACAGTATCTGTGATTGCGTGGCAACAAGACCAAAAGGGTAATTCAGCCCATTTCATTTCTGGATTGGAAGGTGGGAGAGAAGGAAAATTAAAACAAAACAAAACAAAAAAACTAATGTGTCCAGGGCAGTTTACAGCCTGAGAGCTCTGAGTGGTGGAGCTCTGAGCCGGTTTGGTGCCCGCCTGGGGCACTGCCCGCTGGCCGCCCGCATGGAGCAGGCCCCCGCCCGGGTCTCCTAAAGCAGAGGCACAAACAGCGGGGGTGAGCTCGTGTCCCCTCCCCGAGGCTGGCAGGTCCGGAGCCTTGGTGAGGACTTTGGAAAGGGCGGTTGGCATCTCCTGAGCCCCAACTACCCCTGTGGGGCCAGAGTGAGGAGGAGCAGCCACAGCCTGGGACCCCCATGTGGCCAGGCCTGGCCCCCTGAAGATTAGGGTGGGAAAAGGACAGCGATCAGAATAACCAGAACTGAGAACGTCCTCTGGGCCAACTGCCAGGCGTCTCCTCCAGAGTAACCACCACACCCCAAACAAAACCGCCCTGACAGCAAGCCCCTTGGCAACCAGGAGGAAACTGGGGCAGATTCCCCCCTTGTCTCTGCAAGATGGCATCTGCAGGCAGGGCTGGGCCCGCCCAGTGGTTCTCGGAAAACACGACTACCCTGTGACCTCTGCCCAGAAGGCTGAGTGCAGCAAGCCCAGGCCTGCTCTCCCTGCCCCTCGGCCGGGCTCCCTGCCAGGGAGGTCCCGGCGGGTCACCCTTCTCCAAGGTCTTGTCCTGGCAGCATGTTCACGGGTGGGCTGGGGAGACGTGGCTGGAAAGAACAGTGTCGAAGGAGGGAATTGCCTGCCAGAATGTTCTGGAAAGCTGGGCGGTATGTGTAATGCCAAGCAAGTGCCTGCCTTCCCTGCTGTGTCACAGTTCCAGGCCGGCGAGTCAGCCCTTTATTCATCTACCAGGCGCCGGAGAGGCGGGAGTCGCTGCTGTGGCAGCTGCCTGGGCCCCACCGATGTCTCAGCTGTTCTCCACCTCTGCTCCGAAAATCCCCCCACATCATTCCCAAGTCCCGGGAACCGTCTTAGGTTTTATTTTTCAAAAGAGCAGGAGGAGGTGGCATTAGCCTTCTACCAGGCTTAGAGCTCTCCATCTTAAAGGAACCAGGACCCTCCTTGGTGCCTGATGCTGGAGCCGCCCAGCCACCCATTTTCAAGGACAGAGCGGCCCAGTTTCAGGGGATCCTTGTGGAGAAGCGCTCCTGGCCTCCCGGTTGCGCAAGGCCGGTTGTCTTTGGGGAAAGGAATGTGTTTGAGATGAAATGAGGATAGAGAACCACACAGGGACTCTCTGTCCTGCCCTGGGGGGGGCGGGGGGGCAGGCGGGCAGCTCCCAGTGTGCTGGGGCAGAGGGGGGGGGGAGGGGAAGGGCAGGGCGGGAGTGTGTCAGCAGATTTCTCTAGATCAAAACAAGCTGTTCCAGGAAACCGCAGTAAACAGGACTTGGGTGCTGGGTGGGGTTGGGTGGAGGTGGGCCCGCCCTACCCCGTCGGGGCAAAGGCCGCACCTTCCTGGCAACCCACTCAGGGGCTCAGGGCTGGAAGGGGAAGAACAGGGAGGGGCCCCTCGGGCAAGCCCCGGATTTCAGGGTCAGCGCTCACGGCCATGGCCGCCTCCCCTCCCCATCTTGTTCTGCAGTCAGCTCAGCTCTGTCTCCAAACACACACCAGCCCAGGGAGGGACCCAGATTTCCCAGGCAGCCCCGGACAAGGAGAGAAGAGGGTGGGGAGGGTGGTACGTCCGCTTCACACCAAGAGCAGGGCAAGGTCAGTGTTGCAGCCGACACTCCATGTGCCAGAACTCTACCCCGTCCCCCACGGGTCCAGTCCCGGTGCTGTGGCCTAGGCACCGGGGCTGTCCTCACAGGGACCCTCAGCTGGGCCCCTCTGAGCTGTGAGGCCCTGCGAACCAGGAGGCCCCTCCGAGTCTCCGGGCCTGAGTGAGGAAACTGCACAGTCACCCGTGCTGGCTGCCAGCCAAGCCCTTCCTGCCTGCGTGCCTCACAGCAGCTCATGCAGCACAGCTTCCTGCACCCCCCCCCCCCCCCCCCCAGCAGCATGACCCTGAGCACACCCTCGACCCCTCGCAGCCCTGCTTTCCTTCCTCATTCACATTTCCCGATCCTGAGTGTTGTCCTGCCTGGAGGCTCTTCACTGGGGAGTGTGTGTGTGTGTGGGGGCGGGGGCGGGGGGGCCTGGCCCAGCTCTCCCTCAGCTCCTGCAGGCCTCGGCCCGAGGTCACCTTCGGGGCTCCCCACCCACCGGACCTGGGCTCCTTCGGGAAGGGTTCTGTGTGTGCTTTGTCCTCCCTGGATCTCGGGGCCCCGAAGGCCCTGGTGTGTTCCCGGCAGAAAGTGGCCCCTGGTAAATGTGTTGAGCAAACAGTCTATGTTTTGTCAAGGCCACTCTGCCTTCTGTGAGGGTCTCTGTGAGCATCTGTGGTATTTGTGGGCTGACGGGAGCATCAGCCCCACAAACTACGACGGGCCGGACCCGGGGGCCTGCCCAGCACTGGGCTCCGGACCAGGAGCTCACAGGAAGGCCTGGGGTGGGCAAGGGAACCAAAGCCGGTAGAAGCTTGAGGGAGAGGGTGTGGGGGGCTGACCTCCCCAGACCCTGGCTTCTTAGGCCGACCCCTGCCTGCCATGCTTCCATTTTCTTGTCCCACGTGGGCCAAAAAGGGGCAGGGGAGGCTGGGAGGGCATCCTAAGTGAGGAGAGGACTTCTCACACATTTGACCCATGTCTCCCCTGGGGGCCACAGGGCCTGTGGGCTCGGGGTCCCTGGTGGCCTTTTCTGGCCACTGCCGGGGCAGATCCAATTGGGGTCCACTCCCCTCCTAGGGCCAGGCCTCTAGGAAATTTGATGGTGTCAGTCCCCTGCACCCAGATCTCCAGGATTCCCTGCCACAAACACCCCCCAACTCCTGTGCATCGGCCTTCAATGCCCCAGCCCCACTGACCCTCCTCCCTCAACTTCCCTGAGCCCTGCCCAAGCTGGCCTCCTGCTTGGAGCCAGCTCTGCCCTTCTCCTGCCGGCTCCTCCACTGGCTCCCGGGCACCTCCCCGTGTCCTGCAGCCCTGCTCCTAAGTGCTCACCAGACCCCCCTCTCCCCAAAGCCAAGCACCTGTGTCCTTGCTCCCCAGCCTCCAGCAGAGGGAAGGCTGTGGAGAGGAACCTGGTTCCCCAGGCCTTGGCTCAGACTGTCCTTGAACCTGGGAAGGAGGTTCTGCTCGGATCCCCTGGGCCCACCTGAGGGGCATTGGTAAGTGAGGTGTGCGTGGTGCCAGGGCTTTCACAGGGAGAGGGAAACCGTCTGAGAGGTTCCAGCGGCCCCTGAGGCTGCTGACCTTGACACGGAGGGAGCCCTGTGCTCTCACTGGTCCAGAAAGTCAACAGTCACCGCCACCCCCTCCACCAAATGCCAAGGTCAAGTGGGCAGGAGACACAGAAGTCCTAGGGCAGAGCTGGGACTATGACTGCTTGTGGCTAGTAGTTTAAAATAGCTGGAGGGCTCAGTATGGGTGGGGGAGGGAGGCGCTGAGAGACGGGCCTGGACAGCTGGGAAGGGGGAGGACCTGGGGCAGTCGGCTCCTGTGGGCACAGGGCGAAGCAGGAGGGAGATGAGTCGTCTCAGGGTGTGCCCACCCACATCCTGGAGTCCCCCCAATAACCCTACTTTTAAATAGGAAAACTTCACAGGAAAATTTTAAAAATTCCAAAGCAGAATCTATTTTCAGGACATGGATCCTGATCTTTGAATAATGTGGGTCCCATCACCAAATGAGGAACCTAGGGGAACCCCCCTGTATCGGGTACTCCTGGAGGTCAGGGGTCAGGGACTCCCCCATCATGGATGGGAGGAAGGTGGTGGCGTCAGGAGCCAGGGCCCCTGCTCAGCGAGGATGTGGGCAAGCCCCCCGATTCTGCCCCTTGTTTTTCCAGCTGCGTAGGTCGTGTGGGCGGTGCAATCTTGCAACCTCTGCAGCTGAACTGGAGGAAAGGACGGGCTCAGCTGCCCCCTGCTGGCCGAAGTGGGAGCAGCAACCTGCAGGCAAGGACTGTGGCCAACCCGAGGGGCCAGCCCTGCACCCCGACCCGGTGCGGCTGGGTCAGGGCACCAAAAGCAGCCAGCTATGGGGCACCAGACTTTTATTATTATTAATTTTTTAAAATGTATATTTATTGATTTCAGAGAAGACGGGAGAGGGAGAGAGAGAAAGAAACATCAATGATGAGAATCACTGATTGGCTGCCTTCTGCACGCCCCCTATTGGGGATCAAACCCACACCCCAGACATGTGCCCTTGACCAGAATCAAACCTGGGACCTTTCAGTCCGAAGGCCGACACTCTATCCACTGAGCCAAACCGGCCAGGGCGGGGCACCAGACTTTTTAAAAACTGAAGTCGTGACCCCGGCCTGCCCTGCCACCTGTCCTGGCTGAGGCTGGGTAATCGGCCCGCCTTCTCTGAAACTTGGGGCTGGTTTGGACAGGGAACAAGTGCCAGGCGGCTCCCAGGTGCTGTAGGTGGTGATGTCAGTGGATGAGAATGACCCAGAAATGCCCCAGCCTCAGACGACAGTGGGATTGCCTGTGTTGATTGTTCAGTGACCTGTTACCTGAGGAGTTAAGGGGTGTCTGGGAGCCACGAAGACCCTGTGCCCCTGCACCGACCCCCATCGGCAATCTCTAGGGGCCTCCTCTGCTCTAGGGGCCTCCAGAGCCAGGTGCTGGCTGAGCCAGGCCCGCTTCTCCATGCAACAAGGCAGCTGGTATTTTAAAACAACCCTAGATGCATTTTACTTTACTTTTTTAAAGATTTCTTTTTAATCCTCACCTGAAGATATGTTTTATTATTATTATTGATTTTAGAGAGAGAGGAAGGGAGAGGGAAGTGGGAGAGACAGAAACATTGATTGGTTGCCTCCCACACAAGCCCCAAGCAGGTATTGAACCCACAACCTAGGTATGTGTCCTAACAGAGAATTGAACCTGCAACCTTTTGGTATATGGGACGATGCTCCAACCAATTGAGCTACCAGCTGCCAGTTGATATTTTTTAAAAGCCCCAAGACCAAAATAATAAACCATCAGGGTGGTGTTATGGGTTGAACTGTGTGTCCCCCGGTAAAGCTATGTTGAAGCCCAACCGTCAGTGCCTCAGAATGTGACCTTAGCTGGGAATAGGGTCACTTCTTTTTAATCCTCACCTGAAGATATGTTTTATTATTGTTGATTTTAGAGAGAGAGGAAGGGAGAGGAAAGTGGGAGAGACAGAAACATTGATGTGAGAGAGAAACATTGATTGGTTGCCTCCCACACAAGCCCCAACCAGGTATTGAACCCACAACCTAGGTATGTGTCCTAACAGAGAATTGAACCTGCAACCTTTTGGTATATGGGACGATGCTCCAACCAATTGAGCTACCAGCTGCCAGTTGATATTTTTTAAAAGCCCCAAGACCAAAATAATAAACCATCAGGGTGGTGTTATGGGTTGAATTGTGTGTCCCCCGGTAAAGCTATGTTGAAGCCCAACCCTCAGTGACCTTAGCTGGGAATAGGATCATTGCAGGTGTAGTCAGGATGAAGAGAAGGGGAGTGGGTCCCTAGTCCGCTATGACTGGGGTCCTTACGAGGAAGGCCCTGTAAGGACAGACACACACACAGGTGTGGGGGGGGGGGCATGTGATAACCCAGGACTTCACCATAGACTGCCAGCAGAACCCCAGAGGCTGAGAGAGGCAGGAGGGACCCCCTACACCTACAGCCTCAGAGCGAGCTTGCGGCTGCCTACACCTTGCAGACTTCTAGCCTCCTGAACTGAGACAATACATTTGTTGTTTAAGTACCCACCCTCATGTATAGTATCGTGTTGAGGCAGCCCCAGGAAACGTGCAGGCGGGAACAAAGGGGGCATGAAATGACCTGGGACCATCAAGTGGGATGAGTGAATGAATGAACCGGACATAACCAGACAGATGCAGCCATTGCAGGCCAGAGATGCTCTCACATCTGTCACTCAATGTCCCCACTTCACAGACGATGAAACCGGGGCTCAGAGGGCGGACGTTTGATTCCGGTCAGGAGCACCTGCCAACCACCTCCCGCCTCTGCAAACGCGTTACAGATGTGTGCGAACATGGTGCTCTGCCCCTGGGGCGTGGCCAGATTAGACAGGCATCCCCATTTTACTTACTTATTTACAACCAGACAGATGCAGCCATTGCAGGCCAGAGATGCTCTCACATCTGTCACTCAATGTCCCCACTTCACAGACGACGAAACCGGGGCTCAGAGGGCGGACGTTTGATTCCGGTCAGGAGCACCTGCCAACCACCTCCCGCCTCTGCAAACGCGTTACAGATGTGTGCGAACACGGTGCTCTGCCCCTGGGGTGTGGCCAGATTAGACAGGCATCCCCATTTTATTTACTTATTTATGTATTTTTTAAAATGTATTTTTGATGATTTCAGAGAGGAAGGGGGAGATAGAAACATCAGTGATGAGAATCATTGATCTGCTGCCTCCTGCAGGACCCGCCCCACGGGATGGAGCGAGAATCATTGATCTGCTGCCTCCTGCAGGACCCGCCCCACACTGGGATGGAGCCTACAACCCAGGCATGTGCCCTGACTGGGAATTGAACTGTGACCTCCTGGTTCATAGACTGATGCTCAACCACTGAGCCACACCGGCCCGCAGGGGCGACCATCCTCATTTTAGAGAAGAGGAAATGGAAGCCAGGCAGGTGGTAGAACTTGCTTAAGGCTACACAGCAGAGGAGAGGAAAGCTGGACAATGAGCAGGTCCTGGCCCTCCAGGAGAGAAGGTGTGGTGCAGGAGAGACCAGTCTGTTCCCAGGGGACAGCCGTCCCTGCGAAGGGTGAAGGGAATGTGGACAGGTGCTATGCTGGGCAGCCAAGGCGGGGAGGCGGTTGAGGATGCCAGAGGTGAAAGACTGCAGGTGTGTTCTAGAAACAAGTGGAGCCAGTATGTTGTGGGCGAGGACTAACCCAGGACTTCAATAATTGTAGGGTCCTCTGTAAGAAAAAATAATTTTTAAATCCTACTTTTGCAAATTCTACAAAAACCATTGAACACAGTGCCAAGTCCTTCCAGGGCCTGGGCAGGGGCTCCTGCAAAGGGGTGGGCCCTGAGGCTTGTCCTCTCATTGCAGGTGACTCAGTCTCTGTGTGCCGAGGGCTGGGGACAGGGGCGGGTGGGCGTCCTAGAGTTCACGTTGCCAAACACCTGCTCGGAGCCTGGATTTCAGCTGGTGCCGCCTTGTGGGGATGCGTAAACCAGGGCTCAACCTGGGGCCCACAGTGCAGGCAGCACAGTGAGAGCAGGCAGAGCGCTTCAGGGACCAGGAAGCGACTCCCGGGGGACCCTTCCCAGTTGGGCTCCTGCTCCCTTTGGCCCCTCAGGGTGCCTGGAACTGGGATCACAAACTGAGAGGCCTCCCCCAGCACCCAACCTCTCCCCCTACCTGCTGGCTCCCTCTACAGTCCACACTGGGTGGTTTCTAGGGGTCAGCTGGTCTCCAGCTGCGCCTGGAGCATGTGGCCGTGGGCAGATGCAAGCAGAGCAGTGAAGGCGGAACTGAGCCTAGAACGGAGATGGGGGGCAGGAGAGGAGGATGTAGTGAGGTGGTCCGGGTGTGCAGTGTCCTGTCCTCTCCCCTGTGGTGCTGGGAGGCACAGAGAGCACAGAGCCCTTCTGTGGAGGAGCCCGCTGAGGACTGAAATGGGGTGCATGTGTGCACGCGTGTAGACACACTTTCTGAACTTATGCCCAAAAAACAACTGGGTATCAGTGGAGACTGGGCTGTGGTCCAGGGAGGAGGCCTGGGCAGAGTGAGCCAGTCAGAAAGGGTGTCTGGAGCAGGAGCTCCTCCATGGTGCTGGGAGGGGGTCCCCCAGTCAGCCTGAGCCTCCACACAGACACGCAGCCACTCGGCTCACCTGGCCACCAGCGCAGGGGGTGCGAGGACCGAGGATGCCTGGTCAGAGATGGGCAGAGTGGAGGTAAATGAGCACAAAGCAGGGAGGGCCGCAGTGAAAGTGGGGGTGTGGTAGGCAGAAGCAAGGCTCCCAAGATCTTGTGTCCTAATCCCTGGAGCCTGTGAATCAGAATTTACAGGCAAAGAGGAATTAAGGACCCTCTTGGGCCTTCTTACCCTGACCATCCCTCAAGATCGGAAAACCTCACTCTGGCTGCTCCGTGGCACTCAGTACGGGAGCCCAGGCCCGAGGGCTGCATTCCTTGCCGCATCTTCTCTCCATATAAAAGGCTAATATGCTAAGTGTCCGTCCGGGTAATGCTGTCACATAGCAACGCCCGGCTTCCTCTCCCTAGCGGCCACTAGCCTCCTTGCAGTTTCTTCAGCCCAGAACAGGACTTGCTTTATAGCCAGGTGCAAACATTTCACACTTGAACCAAATGTCTGTGAAGCGTTTTCCGTGCCTCATCTCATCTGATCCTCACAGAAGCCCTGGAGTAGGTAGATAGGAGACTCAGTGGAATCTTAGTTTCTTTTTATTAGCCGGAAAACGGAGATTTACAAAGTTTAGAAACTTGACCTGACTGAAAAGAAGTAAGAACTGGTGGACCTTGAAAATAACTTCAGGTTTTCTCACTGTGCAGAATACAGTCAAACACTGCTGCAGTAGAATATTTTACCCTTTGTTCTCCCTGCGTGATCTACAATAATAATCTGCTTCGTGTTGATATTTACTGCTGTGTTGCTGACAATTACCTGAAAGAGAAGTTGGGGTGCTTCACTGGGCTGGAAAAAGTTTAGCTACATCAGAAAGCAGGTCTAATTAAGCAAGTTTATTCTATATCTATAAAAGGCTAAGTTGATTAGCGCATGCACGATACATATAAAGCTCTCACTGGCGCCAATCGCACGCGTGTGTTTTGATCTGTCATTGTTGATCGTGAATTTGGTTGACACTTCTATTATAGAGAAAGGGCGAGTAGTGATATTAAAACATTTCTTCTAATTAATTGCCTTTCAATGTGCACGAATCTGTGCACCGGGCCACTAGTAGTTAATAAAAAGCCAACACACAGCTGCGATCAGCTCCCAGGCTGTAAGTTTCCCGGCAAAGAGGAATTCAGTAGCTAATCAGCTGACTGTAGGGAGATGTGGACTCTCCACCTTGGCCCAGTGCAGTAATAACCACAAGGGTCCTAACCCTGGACGTGGAGGGCAGACGGGAGTCGGAGAAAGAGGTGTGAGGACGGACAGTCAGAGTGCAGGCTGAGGACGCCCGTCTCCTTCCCTGGCTTGAAGGTGGAGGGAGGGGCCACGAGCCAAGGAGCACAGGCGGCCTCTGAAAGCTGGAACAGTAAACAGGTTCTTGCCTCGAGCACGGAATGCAGCCCTGCCCACACCCTCATCTCAGCCAGTGAGCTCATTTCAGACTTCTGACCTCCAGGACTGAGACAGTGAGTGAGCTGTTTTGAGCCACCAAGGTTGTGGTCACTGGTTACAGCAGCCACAGGAAACTAACCTAGTGGAGAGGGCAGAGGGGCCTGGGTAGAGGAAGGGCTCCAGGCCTGCCTGGCCCCAGGTCGATGGTGCTCCTTGAACCACCAAGATGGGGTGTCTGTGCCATCGGCAGGCGCAGCCTCTCAGATGAGTCCCGTTCTCTTTCCAGCTTTCTGGGCACAGGACTTCCCCAACCTCCAGACGATGCTCACCCACAGGAACAACGCCCAGGTCATCCTGTTGTGCAGCTTCCTGTGGGGTCCACAGCGCTCCAGAGGGCCGGCCTGACGCCATCCTTGCCCAACAGGATCTGTGGGAAACAAACTGCCCCTGCCCTGGCCCTGGGGAGCCCTCAGGGAGGGTCGAGAATCGCCCACACCTCCTGGGTTCTCTGCCATCTCCCGAGACACTGCCCTGGGCCCCACCCCCAGGTGTGAGGAGGCACCTGGCGACAGGTGGCTCAGGGCCACAGGACAGGGACAAGGGCCCAGCAGCCTGTCACTCCTTGTTCCCTGCCTCCCCGCAGAGCTCCTGCCTTGGTTCCCACCATGAACCCCCCAAACCTCTCTTGGACCTTCTTACTCTGACCAACCACCAAGATTGGAAAACTGCACTCGGGCTGCTCCGTGGGTGCAGCATGGGAGCCCGAGGGCTGCATCCCTGGCGCACAGTCAATAAAAAGCCAACACGCAGCTGTGATCAGCTCCCAGGCTGTAATCGCACACTCGCATTACTCACATCATAAACTCCAAAGCTGCTGGAAACGGATTTTATTATTAATAAGTCACATGGTACAAAACAATCAGAATATTCAAAGGACATTTAGTAAAAGGCTTTGTCCAAAGGACAGGCAGAAAAGGTTAAGACACAATGGATGCTTAGAAAACAGGAGAAAGACAGGAGTAAAAACAAGTAATTTGTGTACACACACACCCGCCACACCCACATGCCCCCTGGGCCCATCAGATAAGAATTCACTTGGCATCAAAACAGTGTGTGGGACTAGAGGACCAGAGGGCTGGGAGCCAGACGGCGGGCAGCCGGGGAGGTGAGTGACTCCAGGCTGGGGCACCTATTCATTATGACAAATAAGGAAGTCCCTGCTGCCCGAGGCAAGCCCACCTCACACACCTGGAGTGTCGAACGTCATCAAGGGAGGAGGTGGCTCTGGCATCTGGAGACAGGCGGTTGGCATTTCCTCGCCCACGTCCCGCCAGGAAGGGGAGACAACGCGAGCCCTGTGCTGGCTGAGCCGGCGCCTCTTCCCTGTGCAAAGTCCCAGGAAGCTGAGCCAGGCCCCCCACAGAGGAGCCCAGGGCCGGGGAGGAGCTCCTGGGCCGGCCATGCCCAGCGCCACATTCACCTTGGCCATTTGTTCCCAAGAAAGAGACCGGCTGCTGGGGTGGGACTTCCCACATGGCCGGCCCCCAGGGCCAGGCCCGATGGTCACCTCTGAGGGGGGGCCGGGCCCTGAGGGTGTAGGGTTCTCTTGAGTTGCCCCAGAGTTTACAGGCTTCAAGGAACCAAAGCAGACGAGTAAAAACCAAAACAAACCTGAAGCCCCGGGGGATTGGGAGCTTCTCCGAGTGGGGCGTGGGGGTCTGTGGGCCTGCTGGTCCCGGACAGCCCCTGCAGCAGTGACATCACCAGAGCTAGCAAAGAGGCACTTTCCTGCTGGTCAGTGTCTCCTGCCCTCGAGAGAGGCCTGAGTGAAGGGCACAGGGTGCCCCTGCTGAGCGGGGCCCTGCCCGGCTCCCTCGTTCCATCCAGCCAGGGAGGGCACGAGTGCGGGCCTCTCCTCCCGTTCCTGCCACCTGCCATGGTTCAGCTCTGGAGGCCCCGGCCCACCCCGACAGGGACGGCCCGCCTGGCAGCATGCGTGGAATGCCGGCTGACGAAATGCGGGGATGTGGTCACCAAAGTCCAGGGAATAGACCAAAGACACACACTGGACCTGCAGGTCCCAAGCCCTATTCCTCGACCTCCTGTCATGGGAGCCGCCAGGGGGGGCTTCAGAGCAGGGGACGCTGTCCATCTTGAGAGGGGCACACAGGCGAGTCCCTGGGTGAAAGGGGGAGACTGGGGCTGATCAGATGGTCCTGAGATGGCAGCGGGGCCCACAGTGCAGAAGGGCAGGCTGGAGAGGGACCGTGTGGGATCCCTGAGCCAGCTGGGCACAGCCCAGGCACCACCCCAAGCACAGAAGTCCCTGCTCCACGCGTCGAGGTAGGCTTCTTCCCAACTCGAGGGCCACCCCTGGCCCTGCCCTCCTGTGCCCGCCTCCTGCTGGCACTGGCACCACGGCCTCAGCTCTGCTCCAGGCGCTCGCTGGGCTGCACCACGGTGTAGCTCCCTTGGCCCAGGGAGAGCTGCCGGCTGAAGAAGGACGTGGTGCGCTTCGGTTTCACCGGCTTGATCTGCTCGCCTGTCGGGGAGTGAGGACCGCACTGAGGAGAGGGCTTCCCGGGAGGGCCCAGCCCCCAGGAAGCCTGGTTTGGGCTGAGCTCCCCTCTTCACATCTGCCAACTTTCTGGCCTCACTCCCCCACCCCCACTCTTCCACCTGACGGGATGGGTGGGTGGACGTGTCACCAGCCCCCAATCTGAGGCAAATCAGTGTTTGAGTTGGATGCGGGGCCAGCCGTGGTACCTGAGGGGCTTTTGCTAAAACCTATTCAAGAACAGACCGAAGAAACCTAGCACCTGCAACCTGCAGGACGGCTGAAGGTGAGCCTCAACGAGGCAAAAGAACTCTTACAAGTTCACGATTTCAAGCAGGTGGCCAAGGTCAACACCAACAGCCACAAGTCATGTTGCTACGGAACCTGTGATAGGATGCGGTAGAAATGGCATTCCACCTCTGTGATCTTCCCCCCCTAAGCCGTAAGCCCAGCCTAATTCTGAGAAAAACATCAAACTCCAGTGAAGGGGATCCTACAATGTCCCTGACCACCCCCCACAGCTGCCACGGTCATCAAAAGGAGTCAGAAATGGTCACAGCCAAGAGGAGCCCAATACACATGACAACTGAACGCAGTGTGGGGTCCAGATGGTTCATGAACTAAAAAAGACATGAGGCTACACTAAGGACTTTAGTTAATAATACAATCAGCCCTAGCTGGTTTGGCTCAGTGGATAGAGCATCGGCCTGCGGACTGGACTGAAAGGTCCGGGTTCGATTCCAGTCAAGGGCACATGCCTGGGTCGAAGGCTTGATCCCCAGTGTGGCGTGTGCAGGAGGCAGCCAATCAATGATTCTCTCTCATCATTGATGTTTCTATCTCTCTCCCCCTCTCCCTGCCTCCCTGAAATCAATAAAAACAAACAAACTACAATATCAATATTGGTTCATTAATTAGAATATATATGCCATGTTAATGGAAGATGTTAATTTTTAAAAATCAAGCAAAAAAAAAAAAAAAGGAAAACAGGCAACATAAGTGAACAGTAATTCATAAAGAAAACAGAAATGATCCAGCACATAAAAATGGTCCAACTTCACTAGAATTCAAACAGCAACCCACACGCATCTCTCCCTGGACAGTAACACTCACTACCTCCCAGACGTGAAAGACTAGAAACTCCCAGTGCCCGCGCGCCAGGAGTGGGTGCAGAGACGACGGCCTCATCGTGAGTGGCAATGCAGACTTCACCAGTCCTTCCACAGTGTCCTGTCCGCTGCAGACACTGGGAGTTTCTAGTCTTCACGCCTGGACAGTCCTGTGTGAACACGTCTGTGGACGCAGCACTGAGAAGGGTCAGAGCAGGGCTCTTACCGCCAGGACCCCAGAGGCCTCTGTTCGGATCACAGAGCTCACATGTGACGCTCACACCCAGCCCTCCTCTCAGCCAGAGGCTCCCGGCCCCCCCTCCCCTCGAGCTCCCCGGGGCCTGCATACTTGTACCATGAAGAGGTCACTCACCCTCCTCCACATAGTCGATGGTGGAGAGGTGCTGGATCCGGCTGCACACCACGCTGCCCTGTCTTCGTAGCTGGGGGCGCTGAGTGGGAGGTGGCAAGGAGCCGGGGGCAGAGGAAGGGCCGGAAGCGCCCTCCTGGGGGGCAGCGGGCTCTGAGGCCTGGCTCAGCTCGATGCAGTACTCGATGAGGCTGCTCATCAGTTCAGCCTGGGGAGGGGAGAGGCCAGCATGAGGACTGGAGGGGGAGCCAGGGCCAGACCCAGCCTTTCAGCCCCTGCAGAGCGAGAGGAGCCAGATGGCTGTCCCTGCCCCTCTCTAGTGGGGAAGGCACATGAGGAAACAAATACCATTCACACAAGAAAGCCAGTGGGGGCAGGAGCTCTGTGGGCCTGCGGGCAGGGCAGGCGTCCCACCTGAGGTGATGTTAGGGGTCTGTCCTGGGGCATGAGTAGGGAGGGGGCCCCAGGTCTGGGAGGTGGGTGGGAAAGAGAACATTCTACTTCGGAGGCACAGGTCGGGAAGGCAGTGGCCGCAGCGGTCAGGGCAGGCGGGGAAAGAAGCCCGCGGCTATGGAGAGGATGAGATGTGGAGGGCAGGACGGGGCCAGGCAGGCCTTTTGGCTGAAGGAACTGCATGTGTGTTGGCCGGGAAAAGCCTGCAGGCCCATGAGGGGAGGAAGGCGGCAGTGAGGTCACAGGGGAGGGGTGGGTGGCTCCCTCTGAGCACATTCTTCAAAAGTGAAGCCTTCTCAACAAATGTGAAACAACACATCCTATACAATAAAAGCCTAATATGCAAATCGACCAAATGGTGGAAGGACTGATGGGTGGGGGGCAGGGCTGGCGAGCAGGCAGCGCCAGGCCAGCCAAGATGGGTGCCAGTGAGCAGAGGGAGGGGATGGCGATCGGGGGGCAGCAATGACCCCGGTGGCGACCAGCAGCGGCGTAGGGGCGATTGGGGGGCGGGGCCAGCTGCTCATCCCTCGATTGCCCTGCCAGTCGCCTCCTGCAGAGGGAGGTCACTGGTAGCAGTGGCGGCAGCAGGGTAATGAGGGGTGGGGCCGGCCGCTCACCAGCTGGTGCCATCCCCTGATTGCCCGGTGGTTGCCTCCTGCAGAGGGAGGCCACTGGTGATGGCGGCAATTGGCCCACTGGTCACCTCCCACAGAGGGAGGCCAGACTGTGGCTTAGGCCACTTCCCCTGGGGAGCCATCAGTGGGACATCCCCGAGGGCTCCCAGATTGCAAGAGAGCGCAGGCCGGGCTGAGGGACCCCCCCTCCCCGCCAAGTGCATGAATTTTCATGCACCAGGCCTCTAGTCTATATATATAAAAGGCCAATATGCTAAGTGTCCCTCCAACCGTCCGACGGGTCACTATGATGCACACTGACTACCAGGGGGCAGACGCTCAACGCAGGAGCTGCCTTGACATGCACTGGCCATTTACAAAGAAACAGCACTGTGGACCTGGCACTGACAAAGCAACACTCAGCTTCCCCCAAGTGGGACACAGGCCCCACCACCACTCTGGAGTGACAGCCCACCAAATTGCAGCCAACATTGCCGAGACCCCGTGGCACAAAATGTGGCCCACAGCCCAGCCCAGCCCAAAACAGTCGCTGTGGGCGCCAGGTAATGATGTCACGTAGCAATGCCCAGCTTCCTCTCCCTAGCAACGACTAGCCTCCTTGGAGTTTCTTCAGCCCAGGAAGAGGACTTGCTTTATAGCCAGGTGCAAACATTTTACACTTTAACCAAATGCCTGTGAAGCGTTTTCTGTGCCTCATCTCATTTGATCCTCA